AAAAAAAGAAAAAAAAAAAGAAGAAAAGCCAACGCATATTGTTTTTTCATCACAAAGCAAAACACTGGTTGAGGTTTAAATGAAGCTGGACAACATCCTCCAGCCGACGGGCTATCTTAGCAGACTGTGTTGTGTGTTTGTTTCCCGGAGCAGGCTGGAGAGAGAGCTAACAAAGTGACAACTGAGGTGCTGTTCACTGTTCATTGTTGTTGCTAGGCCCCAATCGTCCGGAGGGCTCTCGCTAAACAGGCTAGCTAGTGTTAGCTCGCACAGCTCCTTGGCTGAAAGAAATTCCTCCCCAAAACATTATTCCCGCTCTTTCACAGGGAACATCGTCAAATCTGACCTCTTTCTGCTTTGGATCTTGAGGATAAACGTCCGGAGGGCCGAGTCTGGGCCGCTTTAATGGCCGGTGTTCGTAACTTAGGATCCCGAAAGCAGCCATCATCCAGCGGCATCACAGCCAGGGCTTTCCTCCTCCCCAGCAGCCTGAACCCAGCTACAGCAACCCAACTCACTTCCGGAGAGCACTCATCCCCCAACTTCAAAATAAAAGTCGCGCAGAATTCTTCCTTGGCTTGTAGGAATCTCTCTGCATTAACATCTAACATTAACGCGTAATAGTAATGCGTGTAACAATTCTGCACGTCATTGGTAGACTAGAGGGAATATATTGGGGCTCAAGTAAGGGTGAGTAAGATTTTTCTGGAAGCCTGTGGTTCAACCTTTGGAAACTTGTGTTAATAAACTGCATGAGAATTATACATTTGTGAATGAATAAGATTCGTAGTCGTACAACAAATGGATGATGTTCAAATACAATTTTGTGTATCAATTACATAAATACTGAGGTTGCATAAAGACTGAAAACTGTGTGAAACTCAGCACTCAAATGTGCCACTATGTGTGTTACAATCATGATTGGGAGAGTTACTTTAAAAATGTAATTCGATACGATTACTAATTGCCTATTAAAAATATAGTCAGTACTCTAATCCAAGTATCATAATGTTAAAGTAACAGATCATACTGCTACTTTTTAACTCAACACCAAATATGTAAAATAAAGAGCGAAACAAACAACAAGATGACTTTTATGTATTCTATGAGTCAGCAGAACAATTTAATCTTATTATTATATTATTATAATTTTATATTTTAGTAAATGTGTCCTCTGCTCGGTGGGTTTTTAAAGAAAAACTTGCTTTTTAATAAACTGGTTATGAAACAGTCTCAATTTACCACTGATGCCTCTATATGACCCACATAAAAAGAGGAAGAAAGAGAAGACTGGCCATTTTCAAGTAGTTAGTCTTCATGCCTATCACCGCGTTGATTTGGGTTGATTTCCCTCGAAATCAATGAAATGAGACAAAAGAAACACTACCGCTTTTGTCCACAGGAGCCAGATCAGAATCAATACAAAAGAAAAGTTTCTTGCAGGAGCTTTAAGCAAATACAGGCAGTATATAGACAATTTTCACAGCTGGAAGGCTGCTTTCAGTTGTAAAAACAGGACAAAATGTATTACTTATTATTTGTGTGCATCTTTTTTAATGTGTAACCTTTAAGAACATTCACAATTTTGAATTTCATGCAAAATTTTTACATAACTTTACAAGCTCAAGCTAAAAGCTTTTATTGGCATCAGCCTTATGGTTCTGTTTTGTTGACACATATTTATAGTTAGTACTGTATTTACCTTATTTGTTAAAACATCCAGCAATAGCAATTCAGCTGTCTGCTCACTGTAATGTAAAAACGAGACTTTGCAGTTCACTAACAGGAAGACCTAGTCTCTAATTCGGGAAGACAGGAAGGCTGACTGTTAAATAAAGTTGAGTGACAGGCAAATAGTGTCATAATGTCATGGTGCTGCAGCATGTAAGGTCAGGCAGGTGAAACAGGAAATACTGTGCACAGGCTTTGAGTTGCTGACTATCAGATATATAGTGCTTATCAGTATGGGGGGGGGTCTGAGTAGTATTAGTACTGATACTGAGGTTGTGAACACAGTTGTTTCTCTCTCACACACACACAGTAAACACACTCACACAGAGTTCTGAAAAGGACACACCGTTATAGTCTCTTTTGTCCTTAAAGTCTTGTGAATTAATGAAAAAATAAAAATCCTATTTCACTACTTTGCATCTTAAATAATTATTAAGAACTATTTTCCTATCTTCTTAAGGAATTTATATGGTTTGCTAACAGCTGACCAGTCTCAACACAGTCCTTTTAATCAGCTGATTGCAGCATATTGTCAGCTGTGGAACAGGTGTGTGTGTGCATTAAAAGTGCCTTGAGCCACAAAAGGCAGTACACAACTTTTCACATGTAGTATTCCCACAGAGTATTATGGCACTCCTTCCATAGCAGGCACTTTACTAGGCCAGGGATCTGTATCTGCGACTGGATGGGAGCAGTGTGAACAATGGGTTGAGGGGGTGCCTGGGGTCATGTGCTATGATGTGTGCACTGCACGTAACAGCTTTGCTGTTGAGGTCTGAGAGGTCGGGGGTGGGGAGACCAATAATTTTGTTCCTACTGGAGGCAGTTAACATGGTGACGAAACAAGGGTAACAATACAGGAGAATGGGTTGGATTGTACTTTTGTAGAGCAGCAGCAGAAGGTGCTTTAAGTCTGCAGAAGAGTCCTAAAACAGAGTTATTGTTGTTAGGGAGTGCAAGGATGGCAGTGTTATCAGAGTATTTGATGTATGGGGTGATTGTCATTGGTGCAGTAGAGGGTAAATAGAAAAGGGGACACAACCTTGTGGGGCTCTGGTGTTGGTGATGAGAGTAGAGGATGTTACAGAAAACAGTGTACCCAGTGGATGAGAAGTGGAGGGACACCGAGGTGGTGAAGTTGGAGATAATATAAACTTGTGTAATCATTTTCCACATATGTATGTGGTATTTGAGTAAACATGAAAATGAAAATGTCATAACCCAATTTATTTTTATGTAAAATTTTAATACCTTGAAACAAAGTCAACAACATTCATATAATCAATACAGCAAAAGATTGCTGCATTTACTTAAAGAAGGAAAAAAAAACTCAAAACAAGAAGGTTCCTCCCTTTTTTATAAAATAGTTATGTATTCAAACCAGGGTACAACTTAAATTAAATGTCAAATAGTTTTTCCTTTTTCATTTGAATATGGTCATAGAATGCCAATACAAGTATTTGAAAATGCAAGTTGGATTATTGCATTTTAATTTTAAATAAAACAACACACACATGGAAAATTATAATGTGATTGTTGAATTAAATTTTTCATTATCATTTTAATATATTCCCTTATAGGCTTCCATACTTTGATGTGTAAAATCAGTGGAGGTCCCCTTTAACATATAAAATATCACAGCATCCTCATATATAAAAAATACTTTTTATTAAAAAACACAACTCTTAATGATAAAAATCAAACGTTTACAAAAACATATTCCAACATTAAAATCTCGAGTGTACAAAGGCAATCTTGAAAATGCATTAATGCAATAGAAAGATATTGCACTCTTCATGATTGTTCAGCACATACTTGATTATAAGGCAGAAGTTTACAATCCCCAGCTTTGTGAAAACACATTTAAAGACACATCCTGATGTTGATCAATTTCAACTTTACTGCACATTACATACTGTACTGTACCATGGTTCATAACCTTAACTGCAACTGTAAATGTAATTGGTTCAATACCAGATTTACCTTGCAGATAAAAACATTACCATGAGTGTAAAAAAGTGCAGATTTTAAACTCCAGCATTTTGATTTAGAGGAAACACTAGCTCATTTCAAAACACAGTACCTGCATGCAGTCTAAAAAAAAGCCTGCTTACATGGCTAACTCCATTATATGACCTGAAAATGTTGACAGCTCTAGGCACATATTGCATCTCCAATAATTTACTGAAATAACTGCGTTATAACATTGAACTAGATGCATAGAACATAAAAAAACATAAAACATTAAACATTTTCAGCATGTTTTATACAGTACCTACTAGGAATGGTTAATAGGTGATGCTTTAAGATATACTGCATTGAATAATCAATACTAACTACAAAACAGTAAATTCTTGCACTGAGGTCATAGTTATGAAAATAAAATGACTAAAACTAATGGAGTGTCACTGATTAGCTGGCCTCCAGAGGAAAAGGAAGCGCTGCATGTCCTTCCATGTGTCCACATGAAATATAAAGTGCTACTGTCAGAGTCATTGCTCTGATTCACTTGTAGTTAATTATTTGGCCTACAGGAAACAACCCTTGTGACACGACAGCAAGGAGCAGTCGGATCTTCAGAAATGTGGTCCCTGGGTCTTTGGTTTTTGTAAATAAACAGACACTGTGAACACATAGCAGCCATTGCAGAGCCTCTGTATTTCTTACACCATGGCAGGAGTTAATTATGTTTTTTTGTGCAATTCAGGTATTCCACTGAATTTTCTGCTGTGTCACTGATCACATCGAAAGTACAGCCCCAGCATCTTTTATCTGCTTTGGTTTTCTGATGCTGCTATCATGGCTCTGAATCTTGAGTTTTCATCTGCCAGCAAGGCAGCAGGACTGTCAAACTCCAAAATCTATGAGAATGAAAAGGATAAAATGGTGATCAGTAGCATATAAAATCAGAGGTCCTACTTGCTCATTCCATGAACTTGTGTAGAGAACAAAAATCAAGGCATATTATCTTCTGTAAGAATATTGAAGTTATTTCCCATGGGCAGTGTACGAAAAGAATTTTAATGTCTGGAAAATATTGTCCTCAGCCAGCCTTGTTACGCTTTGCTGTATGACACAAATATCTGTAACCAGTGATAACTGATTACTAAAAAGCTCTCAGCTGTCGACACTCAAATGTTGATGCTGCCGACTTCTTGTGTAATTTCTGCTATATTGGATATCTTACAGGAGATTAAAGATTATATTAAAAAACAAAATCTTGAAATGTCATGGCTAAATGGAAAAACACCACTGCAAGCATAAGCTACCAACTATCAGAGGTGAATATGTGCTATGTAATGCCGTCTGTATTATTTAGGGATGTCTAATAATAATAAAATAATTTGACTTCATTAATCGCTGTGTAGAAACTGCCTTTCACTGGCACCCCTCTGCAGGCGAGGCCAGAGAACTTGGTTATGTGGTTACAGTGGCGACAAATTAGGGGTAATTTCACACCATGAATCTTGTCTTTCCTGAAGCATCTATCATAATTCACCCACCCCTCGAGACTCACTGATGAATCCTTAGAGAGATAAACTGAAACTTATTAACAGGGTTACGAGGTGACACTGAAACTGGTCATCATTCGCTTGTGCCTCATGTTTACTACTTAGACGTCAGCTCGAGCACAGGACCACCTAAGTGAAATGTGCGCTGCCTTATCCAATCCATCACCTCAAAGGGACCAATTCACACAGTAAATCAGGGGTGTTTCAACTTGGGAATGAGTTTCAAACAAGGAGCTGAATTGTGCAATCACTCATGTTGCCTTTATACACACCTGGCCGTTGTCCAGGACCATGACCCTGCTGCAGCTCATCACTGTGTTGAGACGGTGGGCGATGATGAGGGTTGTGCAGCTGCCAAACGCAGAGCGAATGGTCTCCTGGATGAGACGATCTGTCTCAGTGTCGATGGCTGCAGTTGCCTCGTCCAATATAAGAATCTAAAACAAAAACAACAGAAATAACACAAAATATTGAAGACAAGACAATAGACAGCAAACAGGAGATGTGGTGGGCTTAGTGCTTGCTTTGTAAAATGTAAAAATATATAATTTTATTATCACAAAATAAGAAAAACATCACACTATGCTCATGCCTAAATCATGCTTGCATGGTGCAGCTCCAGTGCACACCACTAGGTGGCAGTGTTATCCCATGCAGAGTCACATGCACAATGGCTATTCTGTGATATGGGGAGGTTCTGTTTTTGTTCTGAGGAGAATCTCTTACTTGAACTGCCATCATCACCAATGCCAAACCATGTTCCTCATGTAAATGTGAATGCAGTATTACACAATCAGCACCTTGCTGTTACGCAGCAGGGCTCTGGCCACACAGAGTAGCTGCCGTTCTCCCACTGAGAAGTTCTCTCCGTTCTCCGTCACCTCTGAGTGGAGCGAATGAGGCAGCTGGCTGACCTGAGGAAAGTCATACAGAAGTATAAGGATATATATTAGAGGCTTATTCTATTAACATAATGCTCAATTTGGCATAATGCGACAGTGTTTAACCATCTTGTCACTTACCATTTCTTTAATGTGTGCCTTCTCAAGAGCTTCCCATATCTGGGAATCAGAGAATTGATCCCACGGGTCTAAATTGGTCCTATCGGGGGAAAAAAAGTAAATGTTTATTAACTGGATTAAACATGGTGACAATTTCAACATGTTATATACTGCAGATACTACACTCCTACCCCGCAGCTGACCAAGGTCAATTCTCACCTGAGTCTAAGGTAATTGGCATCCATAAAGAACCTGACTGCTGGTTTTTATATGCTGATGATTTATTTTTGAATCAGTCTTGCCTGTCACATTTTTGTCTGTTCTTTCATTTCTCACTACCTAACAGCATTTTTATTTTCTGTTATGATTTCCCTCTGGTTCTCCCTACATTCACACCAACGGACACTGCCCGGACCACTGCTGGGCCCACACAGAGCAAATAGTAGTTTAACTTAAGAATCTTAAGAAAACCATTTTCAGGCAACAAGTGGGATATCATTCTGTATTTAAACAGGATCACAGGCATAGATGTACAATATATTCTGAACAAAAAAAACACTAATCGTAGTTTTTTAAACAGGCAGTTTGACTGAAGGCACATGAGCAGAGAACTATACGAGAAGGAAGTTTTACACATATGTGAACACTTGTGACAGACGCCAGGTTTGACCACAATGTTGCACCACTAGACACTAAGGGAATTTCCATTAGAGCGGCTGTTTAAGAGCACATTATGGTTGGGAGGTAGGTGCTTCTTATTCATTCCCTCTGCTCTGCCTTTGAAATTCTTTAAAGCCAGAACAATGCATAAATAACAAAGCTCGTTAATACAAGTAATTATCATTTGGATTACCTGACTGTCCCAATGAAGAGCACTGGCTCTTGAGGAATGATGGCTAGTTTGCTTCGCAGGTCATCCAGACCAATCTGTGCGATATCGATTCCGTCAATGATAATAGAGCCTTTTGTCAGCTCCACAAGTCTGAACAGAGCCACACCCAGGGAGGACTTCCCTGCAAACACGTACAGAAAAGCATGAAGCAGTGTCTGCACACGTTGGAAAGGAGATTTAAAAAGAAGCCAAAAATGCGTGCTGGCTGGGAAACAGAAAGGGTCACTTCTTATACCTGATCCTGTGCGTCCCACAATGCCGATGGTCTCTTCAGGCAGGATGTTGAAGGACAGATTCTTGAGCACAAGTGGCAGATCATCACGATAACGCATCTCCACATCCTGGAAGGTGATCTTTCCCTGCTGAGGCCAGGAGGGGGCAGGAGCGGCTGCCTCAGGACTTTGCCGGGGTGCTTCACTCTCCAGACACTGAGATAAGGAACGATGATGGTATCTGGTATTAATCTCTGAATCTCTGCAGAGGTGCAAGCCCCCTAACTGATTTGTAGTGATTTTCGCCCTATGAGCCTTTCTTTGCACTTGAGACAGAAAAGAAAAAAGTGGAGTTGCTATTCGTATCTTCGCGGTTTGATGGCTGTTGTGTGAAACAAGCCCTGTCATGTGTTCTGAAATGTGTGTAAAGACCTCACACTGGGTTTCTATCTCCTTCCTGCTGAGTTGCTTATCACACATATACAATCACATGCACACAACAAAATACACACATGTCTGGACATACCAACTGCCCTCAATTCAACTTCTGTTATACAGGGCTGGTCTGCATCTGATGGTGTGATTCAGTGTCCCAGTTTATGTGACCATGTACAGTGTGTCTGAGTGCCACATAATCCACCTTCCTCCCTGTGCTAATCAATGTTCTTACCTTTATGTAATGATTGATCCTCTCAACTGATGTAAAGCGAGCCTCAGTCTCTGTGAGCAGCCGCACCGTAAACTGAAATAAGCCGGTCAGCTGGAGGTGAGAGAAAAGTACAGAGAGGAGGAAGGTTAGTGACTAACACTGTCACATTTATCGGTATGAAACACTTTTTATTTTTTGTATTTACATTTACAGCAACATAATCTATTAGAAACAGAGGAGACTTTACTTTGCCACATTTCCAATCCTGTCTGGAGCTTCAAACTACTCTCTTATCACCCTTTTAGATTACTATGGCTGCCAGAGTCTCCATACATGCTGTGTTACTACATGTGTTTGTTTACACACCTGCACCGCGTACGATATGGCCAGACCTGCATAGGCTGGAGGTATCTGATTGTGCATGAAGACAATGAGAAGTGCTACAGCAGTGATAAGCGAGATGCTGATGAGGTCCAGGCGGACAGCCAGCCAACGCATAGCGCAACTGAAGAGGTAGTTGGAGGCCTGGTTGGTGTCCAGCAATTCCTGATATCTGAAAAAAAAGAGATAAACCAATTTCAGCCCAAGCAAAGGCAGCACTCCAAAACTCACTTGCTGAGGGAATTTTCTGTATGAGGTTTGGTATATATATATATTACCGAGGAGTAAACTGAAAAACTACGATGCGAGATAAGATGGAATTAAAGTTTAATGATCTCCATCTCAGACAGACACCATTAAACACACCTTTGGAGGAAGTCGGGCCCTCTTCCATAGGCGTGGATGGTGGAGAGTCCCTGAAGACTGCTGGTGATGTGAGAGGTGAATGGTGATTGGCTGATGTTCTCCAGACGCTTCAGCTCACGAATCAGAACCCTGGAAAGAGAGAAAGATAATCTTTCAGATAAACTTAATTCTGTAGGAATTTAATTCATATAAGCAATATCAATATTTTGTCATTAAAAATTATTGCAGATGTTTACAGAAAGTTAATATTTAAACCTATTGCGGTTTTCCTGCTGTCTGTAACTCATAGGTGCTATTTTGTCCAATTATTTTCCAAGCAGTTTAATTAGTTTTTCAAGTAAAGAAAGTTATACCGTCTTAAAATATCCATTCTTATTTACAGGCAGATATAAACAAACTCCAGAAATGCACCACAACTTAAGTATTGTTTTGATTTGTAACCCTTAGTGGTTGTGAAAATCCTAATTAGGTAAGTTTGCAGCACTACAGAACTGAAAAGCTTCCACTCAGGTTTGCCTCATTTGAATGAAAAAGAGTATTGTGTGCAAAAAGGCTCCGGCATGTGAGGAGCAAATATTTCTAATAATTTGCATTATATTGGAAAACATCATGAAGAATACTTTAGAAAAGAGACCATTTTAAAATCCTGCATGAAGTATACAGTAAACCTTTGTGAAGGTTATTTGCTCTGTTTTTTTAAGATCGAAAACATGTCACATTTTGGTCAAACTGATATTGATATTTATTTGGCAGGATCTTGAAAAGAGCACAGACATTACACTTAAGCATGAAGGAATGCAAAGTGCAGCAGCTCTAATGATGCAATTGTGTGGCAGACAGGTAATGATGACATGGTGGAAGCAGAGGGATGCGACGCGTAACACGGCCCCCCGTTTTCCTGACAGCGCTGCGGTCGTTTGCCACTATCTGATGCATGTGCAATATTATGAGCACCGTCGCACACAGGAGGCCATACAATCGGCAGCCAGAGAGACACCAGACTCGTCATCCACGTGGTAGTGTGAGTGAGAGAGGTTTATTGACAAAGGCGACGTGTCTTTCTACTTTTAGACACCGAGACAGAATGGATGGCGCATGTGAATTACAAGTCTCCCATGAATCATTTGGTTTTCTCATAAAAGGCCAGAAGAGAGAGGGAAAGAACACGACACTTCCTCGCTTCGAGCCTGTGATCCAGACAAGCATGTTTATGCCCTGGGCAGTTTTCATTTCAGAATTCAATAAAGGCTGCTTTAAAAGTGGGTAATTTCAATGGGAGATCCAGTTTGATGTAACATCCATACATATCCTGCGATGTCGTGACTTTGTAAGATACAGTATTTATTTATTTTAAAGTGTTGCCATGGGTGATTACTACCGTTTGGGCGTCTTTCTGGTTCTTGTGCGCTTAAATACTCAAAATTCAACATTAATTCCACTTAAACGGCTTACTTATCAAGTGTCTCCTACAAGATAAATAATAAATAACATGTGTCAGATATTTTATAATTAAATCGATCCCTCAGTAGACTAACTGGTATAAGATCTGATCAAATAAATCAAGAATTCCAGTTTATGTGGTTACAGACATCAAGTGATTCATTTCCGCTGAAGAGAGGGGCAGTTGTGTGTGACGCGTGAGCAGGGAGACAGCTCAGCTGTGAACCTAAAGCATTCAATGTCATTAAATTCCCCTCCCAAAACTCAGCTTTCTCACACAAATATGACTTTACATCAAAATGATCATGCACATCATTTTATATTTGAAATGACTGAATATGATGTGATGCTACATACTGTAAATTATGTATAATGACATTGATCATTTTTTGTACTTTCTGACTAAAACACAAAAATAACACAGAGTCATGTTTTTCTTCATCTCTCAGATAGAGGAAATAACAATATACTGTGGTTATTTCCCAAGATACTAGCATGCTGTTGTTCTCCTCAGTGGCTCCACCTTTATTGCACAATTGCTGTAAAACCATAAATAATGACTGAAGCAGAGTCATCAGATCATTCAGGGTGCTTCAGCAACATTTACCACAGAACAGAAGCTGTTCAAAATTAATTGAATGACTGATAACCCTTTCAACCCCTCAGTACTCTTGTGTTACATTTGACTCATTAGAATAAATTTGTATCACCTAATGCATAATCACTATGGCCCATTGTTTGTTTCAGAGTGTAATGTAGCCCATGCTCTGCTTTTATAATACAGATGGAAAGCTCATTGTAACTGGTAGCATTTTTTGTGCATGAGACCTGTTCGGTTTAACTTTTAATCAAATGTCTTCTTGTAATGAAAGAGAATAATCACCCAGCTTTGCAGCTCTACAGAGTTTTTTAGCCTGTTTTTTTAATCAGCGCTTCTTCAGCCCAACATTTACTGTGCGGTTCAGTCCCATCAACCCCTTTTGTAGCAGAAGTAAAAATACAACGACAAACCCAATGTAGACTACCTGCCCTGAAACACACAGCAGACACACAAAGTTAGCGATTAACTGGTTAGGGAAGCAGCTTAAGGCCTAGCTACTTTTCTCAGGACTTGGTGGGGAACTAAACTGAGCTAAATGTTTAATTTACTGCTTTCAGTTGCCAGGTGGCCAGAAACATGGCTATTAAACATATTTGCTGATAAGGCTCCTTCACAATTATCTGCCTCAGCTGTCATGACTCTGTGAATTATGACATGCAGTAAAGCACTGAGCATTTCAAAAATGAGAAAAACTTGAAAACTAGAACATCGGACAGTTTAACAATGAGAGAACAAACATTCCTTTAAGACAGGCTGTGGAAATACACTGGTATGTATACAGTACTTTGATGTATCCTCTTCCAACAAGGAGAATGAGTGGAGGTTGAATCTGTGTATTACATGACGGTTCTTAAAGCGTACAACAAGGAGTTTTTAACTGGTTATGAAACGGTCTCTATTTAATACTGATGCCTTTATATAACCTACATGTACAAACAAGACGATCCGTGAGAAGACTGATTTCTATAAAGGTCTTCTTAATGCCTTCCACAATAACCACATAGTTGGATTCCCGCCAGAATCAACACAAAATTAAAGGTTCTTGTAGGGGCATTAAAGTGAGAGCAGAAGTGAATATACGCCGGTACGGTCTGTACCACTAAGAGATTCAGTGCCGGTACAGTACAGAGAACAGGAGACAGCTGCTGTGTGCCAAAACCCACATACAGTAACCCGTCACTATCACATGTTCAATAATAAAACACTAGCTGCTAACACTGCTAACATTAGGTCAACATAAACAACAGTTTTCTTATGAATTGCCTCTAAATTGTTCCAGTGTGTTTGTGCACAGGCCTGTGGGTTTTTAAACTGTACTGAAGGGAACAACGCATACTTTAATGTTTACTGCTTTCAGTAATTTCAAACATTTCAATGCGTGTTAGTAAAGCTACTGCAGTAAATATCATTAATATCTAAGCAGTAAAATTAAAAAGTGTAGTTCTAAAATTAATAGGACAGAAGAAACTCTCCCCCGAGGGAAATTAAACATTCAGCTTCTGAAGTAACTGATTTAGACAGCTCTGATAAAGTTCAGGATTTATCAGGACGATGGCTGCTCTTCTCTAAACTATCTCTCTGTGTGAACTTGGACTGTGTATGTGTAGAAGAACACAAAGCAGTCATAAACATTTGTACTTGTACTTAACAGATTGCTCGCAGGGAGATGAAGTGAAATGTGCAAACAATCAGTTTGAATCTCAGGCTCAATGCTAATAACGATAGCAACAGGACTGATGAGGGTCTGACCTGGACACACGGTTGACAATGCAGAGGAAGGCTCCCAGGGGCAGGATGGAGATCAGGAACCAGGGGAAGACAATGCCCACCATCCCCAAGCAAAACAGCACCAGGGTCAGGTTCTGCAGCAGCATTTCAGCTTGCATGGTGAGACGCACATCAACTTTGGAGAGGAGACACATTACATAGTGTTAAATGGTGTTCGATCTATCTACCTCTCTCTATATGTGAAGAAAACTTTGTCTTTGTGTCCCCCTGAGTGGATTTTAGTGGGTTTTTTTTTTTTTTTTCAAAAAAGAGAGAAAGAGACACAGAGGAGTACACAAAAAAATATTATGCTTAGAAACAAAACCAAACATCCAAAACAGAAGCAAGCTACAAATCAACATGTCAAGCAAAGACGCCAGTGAAGTGGATAACAGAAAGCCACTCCCTCAGGTAAAAAACTCCATGTGAAATCACACTGTGTCTTGGTACTACACCTTGTCAACCAGGGTGACTTCACTGACTGAGAGCTCTCTTAGGAGAAAGGTCTCCCAGTCAAGACAAATCAAGCCTCACCCTCATCCATGTCTCTGGAGAATCGGGTCAGGATACGACCTAGAGGTGTTGTATCAAAAAAGTGCATGGGGCTGAGGAGGAGCCGGCGGAACAGCTTGTCGTGGAGTGCGGAGGCAGCCTTCACCGTGCACTGTCAACACAAACAACAGCCGTGCTTGAACATGAGACCTGACACATGTAAACAAACAACTTTAAGAAGCATACGGAAAGAATCACAGCTTGAGTAAACAGACAGTCGGAAAGAAATCGCCTGTCATTGTGCTCAGCCTCAAACGCTAAGACACACAATGGATAAAATACAGCAGCGCTCATATGTTGCCCGCAGAGTAACAAATGCTACTTCTACATATACTAAGCATGTGCACCGTGGTTGGTCGTTTTTTTTCCCCTCGCACAAGGCCAGCTGTCAAATCTTTATTTATAATGACTTTCTTGGAGGCTGACATAAAGGTCCTGACCTAATGAGCAAGAGACATTTCACCAATTGGACCGAAATTACATGTGGCAGCAGAGAACAAATTAATTCTATTAATGGAATATTCAACACTCCCAAAGATCTCATCACAGCTAGGGGTAAAAAAAGATTAGCCATCTTTGAAAAATTAGCAATTTCAAGTGGCACACATTAACGTGGGGACCTAACCTCTGCAAAGCAATGTCAGCATGGGTTAGCTTGAAAAAGAGGACGCACACCCGAAGGGGCAGTGACATCCACGCACACACATCCTGTCTCTCTGCCTCTTCGTCTCTCTTGCACACACACACACAAACACACACACATGCAGTCGTCGCAAAGCTGTGAGACATGGCAGTGGACAGATAAATGGATTTGGCCCACAGGCAGTTTCAATTATAGCACTGGAACCATGAGACCATGAACAAATGACAATAAAGACAATTATGCAGGGGCACTACTTAACTGTACACCACTAATGTATCAGCTTTTCATATTCATATCAAACACCACTACACCACTATTGTTTTTAAAGTTTATCAGTGAGTGAGTGGACAAAGCATGTGACAGAATTGGGGGGCGGGGGGAAGCTTACCTTCACAAACACCAGCCCTCTCATGGTCTTCAGCAATAAAGCGGCTCCCATTGACATGATGTAAACAGTTGAATAATACTGAATGTGAGGGTTGAGTCTCATGCTGTTGCTCGCCATCGTTTCATTCACCAAGATCAATGATGTGTTCTGAGGGCAGATGGAGCAACAAATTACAAAGGCTGAGAAAAAACACACATTTTCCCAATGTAGGAATTTTGCCTCTGATGAAATTTTGAAAAGTGCATAAAAGTGTATGAAAATTAGTCAGTTCAATGATGTTTACTATTCCAAGCACATTTCTCAACAGCAGCCACCGCCTGCTTTGCTGCACATCTGTTTCTTCACTGCTCGTGCTTGTTTTTAATTAAGTTTACCGTGGTGCCGTTACTTTTTTAATCATGCACATTCAGATTAATTCTCACTCGGCTCCCACAACTCACAGAAGAATAGCAGTTATTTTTCTTCTGGGAGCTAAATGCACAGTAAAATGTGGTGTCTATTATAATTAAGCGGGATCGTCTCCAAACTCACCCCACTGCCCTGCCTGATCCAGTAGCTCAGCCACCAGTTACTGAAGGCTATGCTGCCAGTGGTGGAGAGGAAGAGGAAGATGTTGATGATTAAGACTATCGGACCTCCTGCTGCTTTGATATAGGCACCATACACAGACCAGTCGACTGCACCGGAGCCTTTCTCTTCGGCTTTCATCAGTTGTTCTACATGAAGGATACAAGAAAGAAAGAAAAGTTATTTGCGAATCATTCAAGGAAAAATAAGCATTAAGTGTTAAATTTTACGCATGAAGCATGAAAAGTGGCAGGGTCTCACACCTGCTTTCCTGCTTTCCACCCTTGGTCCGACCTTGGCAATATTCACACCACTGTCAGCCTTCTCTGCACCTGCCTTCTGCTGTTTGTTTTTTAAATTCTCTTTCACCAGATTCTGAGAGACACAAAGGTAGGGAAAGAAAGTGCATTTTGAAACATGTCACAGTCACAAATCACAGCAGCCGTAACAACACCCTGCAAGTCATTTAAACAGAGATATCGGTGACAGGGTCTTTAGCAGCTCACCAGTAAATCAATGCACATATAAATAATAAAAGGCCATGTATGCATTAACATTTCCCAGCTATTGGGTCTGCCTTACTCGGCTTATGAATTATTCAGCTTGTACTGTTCAATGTTTTTGTGTAGCGGGGGCAAAGATCCCTTATTCAAAAGAGCTGGCCTGGTGCCTCATGTGCCCCTGGCCTTACCTCCTGTTGCATGCTGTTGAATAGGGTGGCATAGTCACGCTCTTTACCCATGAGCTGGGCATGGGTGCCAAACTCTGCAATCTGCCCATCCTTCATCAGAACAACGTAGTCACACTCAGACAGGTACTAAAAAATAAAAAGATAAAAAACAAAGGCAAAATAGGATTTCAGGAAATTAAATTTCAAGGATTTTTATGTTTCAGACACTTTGCAGACATTTATTTTAAACTTTAATCAGCTAATCAAGGTTGCTTTTTATAACTACCCCCTTCAGGTCAACAAAGAAGCAAACATTGAGATTGAGGGACAAAAGGGCATATTTTCACAGTGCCGAAACTACTAAAATATGAATTAGTTATTTTGAATGCTTTGGGGAAAATTACACATTCTGAAAGAAAATGTGGTATTATAAGAAATTCACAGACGATCCCTCACCTGCAGCTGATGGGTCACAAAGAGCACCGTCTTGCCTTTGGCAATGCCCCTGATAGCTTTATGGAAGACATGGGACCCCACACAAGCATCAACAGCGCTGAGAGGGTCATCCAGGAGAAGTATGGGACGTTCACTGTAGAGAGCACGCGCCAGGCTAACTCTCTGACGTTGCCCTCCACTCAGATTGGCTCCTCTCTCTCCAATCTAGAAAGTAGTAAAAAAAAAAAAAAAAAAAGGTTCATAAAACTCTTCTCTTGTTGTGGTTGCACTGAATTGCAAACAGTTACATAAACTAAAAGTGCTGCACATGCCATTCCAGCACTGACTAAGTAAAGAAAGAACTAAAAAATCTTATTCATGAGAAGTAGATCCTACAGATACCTCAGTCATGTCTCCATATGGGAGCTCTGCAAGATCTTGAAGAAGACAGCAGGCTTCCAGGACAACATTATATCTGATGAGGAAATATTAAATTAGCGATAAATCTTACATTTTATAGCTTTTGTTCTTCATATCATCATCACACAGTAGTTAATCTTACTTGTCTTGGTCATACTCATTTCCAAATAGTATGTTCTCCTTCAGTGAGTGATTGAGGATCCAGGCTTGTTGTGACACATAAGCGAAGCCACCACTGACAGCCACATTACCCTCCAGCAGAGTCATCTGCAACACAAAAACAGAAGGTTGAAAGCAGAGGAAACACTTGAAACGTTCCTTTTCAGGTTGTAGGCCTTTACTTTCTACTGTATGAGAATAAAAGAGCTGCCTTGTTGCTGTTAGTCTGTGCTGTCTGAAGAGGAAACTTGAACTGAGGTAATCTTGTTGAACATCCAGTTAAATCTCACCTGTCCTAGTAGAGCAGACAGAAGAGAGCTCTTTCCGCTACCGACACCACCACAGATTCCAACCAGCGAACCCTTGAAAGGGAAGAAAACAGTGGCATGAAGCAGGCTAAGGTTTGGCCACCTCCTTAAATAAAAAATGTCCACTTAATGTATATCCTTGTGCTGTTACCTTCTTAATGCGTAGGTCAATGCGGTGCAGGGTCTTGTGCAGCGGAGGTCGTATGCTTTGAGTGGAGGAGATGGTGCTTTGCGGGCTCTCCTGCTCCATATTTGTTAGCAGACTTTGTGCGTTGGGACCTTCCTTGTTGTTTCCTTTGCTGTCCTCTGTGGAAATGTACAGGCTAAGCTTCTCCCTGCGCAGCACGCGTTTCATCCCTCCTCGCTTCTTTGGAGGCAGGTTAGGTTTTGCACTGGGAGAGCGAGCCTTTTCCCAAGCCAGTGTGGCATCCTGAAATTCGACTGCATTGCTAGGATCCTCCATTGTGACCAAAACAACCTCTCTGTCATCCATCATAAAGAGCCTCTGTGGAGACAGACACAATGGGTTACTTTATGGAACATTTCATTTTGACAAAATGTCAAAGTTCCTGTCTTTGCTTGAGTTAAAGCAAACGTGGTTTAACGTACTTGAGGTTGTGCCATGCCATGACAACAGTAGCAATACATTACTCAACCTCATGCTGAAGGTACAGTCTAACAAGTTCTTGAGTACTTCATTACTTTATGGACTGCTTTAGTGTGAAAACGCCTCAAGCATTTCGGCGCATCTTTGGCAGTAACGCTTGCTTATCTAACACTAGCTAGCACTGTGAAACAATCTTTCACTAACATGTGACTTTTACCATGTCTTTGGAATACAGTATGTTAAAAATGTCAGGGTGTAGTGTGGGTCGACTTGTTTTTAGCATCAGCATCAGTTGGAGCAAAAAAAAACCTGCTTTCCCACTGACATGGTATGTATGTCAAGTCTCTAAATGTCCTTTAGTCTGTTATATACACCTAGCTATATATTTTGTGTACAGTTCTGTATATGGATTGCTTTAACAATGTTGGGATTCCTTGTATGAGTCAAAACACAAACTGTGTCTTAAATAACATGCATATCAGCTGTCTTTATTTTGGGTGGCTGGGGTCGTTGACTACATTTCTCACCTGAAATCTTGTCACTGCAACAGCACCTTCTGACAGTGACCTCACAGCCAGTGGTGTGACTTTGAGGGAAAAGGTCATGGAGTTGAAAACTGCAACCACAGTGAAAGCCTGAGGTGGGATGTATAGAGATGGAAATGGTTATTCGAAAGTTTTTTAGTTTTTTTTAGTTGGGGCTACACCTGACTTTAAAATCTATAAATGCTCATAATGGCTAGTGACTTGTCACATCAGCTTTAGTTGGAAATTGGATAATTATCCACTTGGACAGATGCATCAAACCAAGGGGGGTGCTCCAGGAAATAGAATTTTATGAGGATTTGATGGTTAGCAAAAACATATACCAAGCATGTTTCCAGTGAACACAGATGAATCCAAAATGGAAATATGCAGTGAACATGGCGACTACAGGTTCCTGTATTAAATACCTCAGCTGCAGTAAGGTCATAGCCCAAAGCCATATGTAGGGTGAAAGTGCACGCGCTCGCTATAACCACGACAATGGGAGCCACGCCCACTGTGAGGCTCTGGACGACCCCAGCTCTCTCCAGTATGCCCCTCTCTTCTGATCGCACCTCTGTGGAGGAGATAAGAGAGAGACAGAGAGAGATAGATGATAAAAAGGCAAAGACGAGCAGAAAGAGAGCGAAAATAAAGTAAGGGTTGAGTGACTCCCAAAGGGTTCTCCGGTGAACATTCAATCAACAACACCATAAGAGTCACTAACACACAGCGAGTGGACAGAAATAGATACAAGAGGGAGGACAAGGGCCCCACATCCATACATGGTATGAAAGGGGCTTCAAAACCTGCTGAACCTTGATAACTGTCCAAGTGTAATGCCCAAATCCTGCCCCCCTCCTCCATGTTTGTATCTCCCAAATGCACACGCTAGCTGCTTTGTTCACCCAGTTCATTGGGTGCAAACACTGGAACAAAAAGCTTGTGCATCTTTAATTCAGCCCCGACAGCACTGTGCGTGAAATAAAAGAACTCCCTCCTCCTGCTACATGTTATTCTCCATGGGATTCACTTTGGACGTTATGCATGTTTCTGCGTGGATCACAAAAGCAAAAGTCACACACCGCAGGCAAAAACACTGTGATCATCTATTTAACAACAATAGTAATTGAAGGGAATGACACTGTAACTCTTCAGACTCATTGGCCATTAAGTTGAATGCCAATTAATTATGATTATAATAGGTAATCAAAGGACAGCAGTGAAAACAAGCCCCACCTGACTAATTTGGAGCATGATTAAAAGGGGAAAATGATCCTTATCCACAACCTAAAGCAAGGGCCTCATGAGAAAAGTCCATCACTAATTCATGGATAAGTAGAGCAGCCTTGACAGTCATTCAAGGTATCATAAGGCCCCAAACACCTTTCAAATTAACCTTGAAGCCAAGGAATTCAAACCAGCCTTGATTATAGAGGATGGCACAAGGAACGACTTAAAAGGAGCAAGCTAATGAAAATGGATTTAGGGTCAGGGTTATCTTGCAAGTTCACAAGGAGGATAAGTCTAATTTCAGGTGATAAACTGACTTATTAGTTACTCATTTGCAGCAGTGACAGGTGTTCAAATGAGGTGACCCTTTATTCTGAGTGAGTTGGGAATAAAAAGCATAATAAAATAACTTAACTTAAGCATAAGCATCAGCATCGTTTTGCATCTGTAGGAACTAGGAAACTACCTGGTCCTAACCGCAAACAGCAGTGTATTATGATATCGCTGAGTCATTTGGGAACCTGTCAGTCACTCACTGTGAATATTCTGTGCAAAGGCATCTTCCCAACAGTACATCTTGATGAACTTTATGCAGCCCAAGATCTCGTTCATCAGCCTCACGCGCCGGTCAGTCACCGTCACACACTTCTTGCGGAAATACGCCGTCAGCCTCGATGCAAGCATCTGTCCAGACAGGAACAGAGGAAATGATGACAAGAGAAATAAGTGGCAGGGGAGGAAATGAAAGCAGACACAATCACATTAGCCGTGCTGCAGGGCTGTCCGGGGGACTGGAGTGATAAATGCCTTTCACATCAATACCAGGGTCTCCGGCTGTCAGGCTCCAGCTTAGACTGAGTGTAATTTGAAAATAACAGCTACAAAGTTGACAGGAGATTGATAGCCAAAGAGTTATGATGCTTTTAAAAAGTGCTGTTTGTAGTCTTCGACAGCCTGAATTAACGCAAAGATTCTAAAGTGATGAGTACTTATGTCTTTTATTAAGCAAATTTAAAAAAGTTGCAGCGCAGCAAATAATGAGTCAACAATAAAGCAACGACTCTCAAACTTTTTGAAATTGTTGTAATTAAACTGCTTGTCACTGCTATAATGAGTGTGATCATTACTTGGTATAAGTTTTATAAAAGTCTGTAATGAAAACTTGCTGCCAACAATTTACACAATATTAAAAACACTGGCTGTCTGTGTGTGCGTGTTGTTATTAATCTATTCTAATTTGTGTGCTTGTAACAAATCCTATCCTTTACTTTGTCTGTTTCTTTTATAACAGCAACATTGAGCAAAAGCTTCAAAGCTTTTCACTGTTACAGATGTTACAGCTGAAGTCGTACCATGGCTGGGTAGAAGAGGATGAAAACAGCCGACCCCACCAGAGCAGTGGGGCCCAGAAAGTACGCAGTGTACAACAGACCCAGCATTCCCACAAGGGGCCCCCCCGCCAGCAGGCAGCCCATCGACACTGCTTCATACAGCCGCTGGCCGTCACTGGAGCAGATGTTGATCAGCTAGGAAGAGAGACAGCGATTTACATTACAAATGACATTAAAACCATACAATGAACTAAATCTTCCACCAAGACATACTGAAATCTCACCACTAAGACTATAAAAGCTATTTTACAAAAACAGTTATTCCCACGTTTACTTGTTGGACAGCGATTCCTCTTAAGCTGTGTAATGACTAATCTTGGAAAGCCTCCCTTCCCTCAGGCTATGGGATTTGTTGAGATCTAAGCAGGAATTGTGTAAGAGCAGAAATTAAATCCATCTCAATCATCTGCATGTGGTGCCCCGCTGCGAGGGATGATTTAGCTAATTTGGAGATGAGTCCCCTCCAGGGTTAGATCACCTACCTCGCCTGGGCCGACATCTTTAGTGCTGCGTAGGCGGAGAATCTTGTTGAAGGCAAACGTAAGAGCTGCCCCACGGAGGCGTGCTGCGGTGCGGTAGTTGACGGCCCACATGAGTGCCAGAGACCAGGAGCGCATCAGCTCCATGAGGAAGATCCCGGCTACCAGAGACAGGCCGTACGGCACGCAGCTCTCTGAGCTCTGGGAGTACTCCAGCAGAGCTCGAACCAAGAGAGCCTGGGGACCAACAGGGAGGAAGTGAACAGAGTGGAAAAGAAGGTGAAGGAGACAGTGGGGAAATAGTAACAGAACAAAAATGAGCAGAAAACAATGTAGACAATAAGCAGGAACATGGAGGGGATGAAATGGGACAGTAGAAAGTGGAGAAAAAGAACAAAGAGATGGAGAGGGTACAATTTAGGAAATGCCATAGATCGAGATAAGCAGGGACCATTATGAAAAGACAAAAATACGATAAGAAGATGAAAGAGAATATTTTAAATCAACAGATTAAAGATCGTATGAGCATAATAAGCATACAAAACAGTAAAGAAGACCTGACGTGGACATGAAAAGTCCAAATTTTGTATTGAGTCAAATGTGAAAAATAAGATAAATTACAGAGACAATATATACAACATGGCTTTGTTAAAGTGTACTAAATAAATCAGTCAGTAAATGTGAGACACATGCGTCATTGTGTAAGAACTAAATCCAGTTAATGCTATTTAGTTGCAAGTAGTAGCAAGCACATAGTGTACACATAACATCACATTACAATAAACTGTTTAGAGCCTGAGGACCAATGGGACCGACTCAATAATATCATACAGTGGGAATTCCAAACATAATTACCCTTTAGTTTAAGGTGATTATTTAAAATTTCTGATAACGAATTGTTTTAGTGGAAAATCTAAAGCCAAAAGTGTGGCAGATAAATAAAAACCCAACAACATATTTCTGGACCAAAGCGTGACTGGGTACAAACCAGCTAATCTATGGTATTAATATGGGTTTCACTATCTAAGGCTTTGTAATCTCCCAGTATGGTTTCATTTCAATTTCCAGACCAGCGTGAAAAGGGATAAAGTGATTTTCAGAAAATACACCCGGACTTGGGACTCCACGCCAGCGAACATGCTGAAAGGCATATTAGCCGAATCAGCAGAATATAAAGGGAAATGAGGATTTGGATAGTACTCACAGGCCCAACGAAGCCTGCCACCATTGTGAGGAGGAGGGAGAAGATGGCCACCAGCATGCGGGTTTGGCAGAACCTCCAGAAGACTCTTGTCAGGGAGGCCCCCTCTCGTCCTCGTCTTTTCAGCTCATCATGCCACAAAGTTTCCAGCCTGGAACCAGAAATCAGGAGCACAGATTGATGACGAGCTACAGGAAGTCACAACTCAGCCAAACAAAATTACATTAAACTGAATTTATTGACTCATGAGTCAAAACAATTAGTCGAACTAATTTTTCCCAACTTGCATCGCTCTCGCACGTGAACGCTATGCAAAGTGCTGAATTAACTGTATGTAAAAGCTGGCATTTTTGAAGGGCAAAATTATCATAAGTGAAAAGAATACTTTATGTATTATTATTTTTCTTTAAATTATGTTGATTAAAAACTGCAGGATTGCGGTTCTAATTTATCAGATTGACTGAATGCACAATGGGGGACGTAAACAGTGTGGCAGCCAATCGTGGCAGTTAAAAATCAAAAAAGAGCAGCTAAACTGATAATAATGTAAAGGTGACCTAGAATGTACAATCATGAATGATCCATCACATAATTACACTAGAAAAGGTACTACTAAACATGTTAAAGATGTGCTAATGTACTTTTATTGCAGGATAATGCCCCTTTAAGACGGTAAAATATCTTGTTGGCCAAATGCATCATTGCTAATGACTCTATAAAGCAGCAGCACAGCAGCTGCAGAAAGTAATTTACGCCCTAATGACTTTATTAAAAACGTATCAGAGACAGACAGAACATTAAACCAACTACACTCTCACACTGACTGATAATTACTACTTGAAGTCAAATGGTGTAGAATCTAAGAAATTACAATTAATTGCAGCCCAATAACAGCACAGAGCACAGCTTGAGTCACTGGAAACACGACTTCTATGTGAGAATCCCATCAATTGATCAAGCAATGAACCCTAAGCAATGTAAAAACAAAAATAATTAAAAAAAATGTATTTTCATTTAAACATATACATACATTATGGTAAATATGACTACATCCAAAGTCACGTGTATTTATAGGTTTGATCATCATAATTAACATAATTTCTAAGATTTAAAAGAATCCATGCACATAAATGGAGATGTGAGCACCGGGGCAACGGTGTGGGCTCCAAAGGAAGAATGATTTGCTTTTAAACATGGCTGAAATCGTCTCAGTTTGCCAGATGGCAAGCGGAGCTGATGTTTCGAGAGAGTGTTGGCCAGGACATCGCATTCAAAATTCGCACCTCACTGAGCACTAACAAGTGTCAACTCTCCCAGGGTGCTTTTCCCATTCCCCCTTTCGCCATCATCTCTGCTTTGCATCGGGGTTGCGTAACTGTTCTTGCTATGTAAACACAAAATAAAGACTTCCCGTCTCCAGCGACTCTGCAGCGCTCATGCACACCATCGCCCACCCGTGCCAGTGTGATAGCTTTGTGTTCATTTGCTTCCTCTCTATGTGTTCTTTAACACACACAAAGCAGGAGCAGCAGCACTAAACCTCCAGGCCCTGAGCCACAGCCTTTAAACAGAACAGGCCATTTACAACCCACACAGTTATCACCAGATACAAGAGTGTACTTCCTCAAATAGTCACCCTCCTCTATATTGCCAAGTCATGGCACCATGACTTGACAGCACGTGAGTGATGGAAAAAACATTGGTTTTCTTTTCAGCGAGCTGTAAAAACAAAAGGCCTCAGACAACCTCTAATAACCTTAGTCTAAGTCCTAATTGTCCATTCATGAAATCAGTGCGCTCGTACGTAAGGCATTTCTCAAGCTGTATTTGGCAGGCAAACAGTGACTTTTATCTCTTGGTCTGCTCCAGCTGAACTCCAGTCAATGACAGCTAATGAATGTGACAGGGAGACACAGTGCATCGCAGGTAGAGGAGTTAATGACATAACCACACAAGTCAGGCACTAACTCTCACTGTAATCTCTAATCCCTGCTATTCTTAGCAGCCTCCCATCCTAGCACATGTTCCTGTGTTGGTAAAGAAAGACTGGATGTTCATCCAGAAAGTGTCACTGCACAGGCTGAGCACATACAGCACAAATCATGTACAGCTGTTTACATGGCAGGGAGTTACATATCTATACTGAGCCTTGCACCTGTTTTCCTCTTACTGTCTGCAGGTTATCAGTGTGTGTCTGTGTGAGAATAGTGTCACCACATGCATCTTGCTCACATGCAGGGCAAGGAAAGCAAATACGGTTTCTCAATATTTGTTCAAAAAAGAAAAACAATCCCAGTGACCCTACAGTGTGAGAGTGAAGCAGTGTGATGTAGATCTGTTCACCTGAATACACCCTGACACAACAAGCGCCACTGGGTACTTGAAACAAAACACACGACCTTTTCACCTTACGGCTCATTCTTTGTAACATATTTTGTGTCTACGTGACAAAAATTTATTTAATTTGCAAGATTATAATACCGTTTTGACTTTGATTTAATATCAAAGCAGGCGGGCACACAAAATCTTTCACTGACACAGCAATTCATTTCCTCCAAGGATGAATTACCAACCAGGCAAAGCAGGCAACTGCCCAGGGACCGAAGAAGTCACAGGTTCAGTGCATGTTAATTAGTACTTGATTATTTGCAAATCAGGGCAGGTAAGGGAATATGTACCACTTGTGTTCAATATTAACTAAAGCAAGTACTTTAGTATTAGCTAATCTGAGAGACCTTGTAGGGTTGCCCTGTTTTATCAAGTTAACACAAACTGACTGACGCACAGAAAACCTGGGACGAGGTAGCATTCCACCATATGAATGCTAGCTGATCTCTGTGTGTCTTGAGCATATGATGAAGATGCTATGTGCAGTCTGCTGTTTGCACTGTACATAAAGCATAAGGCTGGCAATATTCTATACTTCTCTTCATGTCAACACATTGCATGAAAACTCTCCACTACGTCAGTCTGTCTCTCAGTAATTTTTGCCTCCTCCTTGCATACGCATACTGGACATTAATCTTAAAAAACTATATACCTTCATTTTTAGCTTAGCTTTTAACTTAGCAGTTTCAAAATATAGTATGCAGTATCACCAGACTTATCCTAAAGAGGAACTACACGCTAAATAATTTCTTTTCACTGCACACATAACCACACTGATTATTGATGCATATGTAAAAATAACAGTTTTTTTTCGGCTCAATAACTTCTTTATTCAGAGCTTAAAAAAGGGCCTACAAACAGCAACCTTAACCACGATAAACAGCATGGGTACCCACCTAGTGACTCTCTCAAAGGGCCATAAATGTGCTTCTAGTGACTGTCTTAAGCTCCACCAGACTCCCTGTTATTCCAGCAGAGATACAGAGAGTCTGACAGTAGCTTCTCTGGCTGGTTAGCTCTGACTCCCGACTAGTACGTCACTGTCCGTGCTAGACTGTGCGGTGGTCAGTCAGTGTCACCCGTGTCCCATGACCCTCTGCATTACACACTACAAAGCCTCATGGTCACATCTCCATCAGTTGTTGCTTCCTCACTTCTCTGTTGCATTATTAAAATATGCCAAGGCTCTGGCAGAATTTGAATGGGATGAGGCAACAGGGTTTTTGACAACTCACAATTTACTCCTACGTGGTATAACCTCACCTTTAGACAAACCCTTTTCATGTCACATCTCACCCCAACTGCAATTTTCTGAGAATACTGTGTTTCAGCATCAAAAATAGTGTTCTGACCACCGCAGGTCACTTTCATCAGGCGGACCTCAGCAGTGCCACAGTTACCTCACCTTTGGCAGTTGAATTCAGAGGCTTCGTGGCAAGACAGTCCCCACACATCATCTATGGACAAGCTGGACGCCTTGTAGGCCTTCAGTGCCAGTGGGGAGAGCCAGTGCAGAGTCATAAATGAGAAGAGGCCGGCGTTATCGACTGGGTGCTGGTGTCTGGAATAGAGAAGAAGACGTGAAAATGGGTGAGATGTCTAAAAGTGCAGGCGTACACAAAGGTGCTATGTTGGGGGAGCAGGCCCACATAAGCCACTGAGAAAGAAGCGGCGCCTTTGCTTGGCAGAGTCGACGAAAGGTGAATCATGCCCGCAGTGTTTGAACAGTAATTTGCACGCTCTTCACAGAAATCTGAGAGAGCAGCGAAAAAAGAAAAAAAAGTTCAGGGGCAGTTTATCAGTCGGCATATGTTCAAACACGGCGCTGTCTGTCGCTGGGGGATAAGTTTCCACCCCTTATCATGGCCTCCTGCTACTGCCAGCATGTCAGGCAGCAAACACAACAAATTTGAACTTTAATGTCTATGTAGGTCTTTAAATGGGTGTCTGTCTGTCAGTGTGCCTGCCTGCAAACTGTCTGCATGTCTTTATGTACACCTTTATCTGGCTCACTGTCAGATAGTCGCCACATGAATTTAAATAAAATGCTGTTTACTTGTGAGTTATCCTGAAGGGCTTTAAAAGCTGCAGGCTCTGCCGGTAGCGGCCTTGTCTCTTTGGCCCCTTCTCCGCTGATGCATCTGCTTCTTCTTCCTCTAGCTCTGGTAGCGGTTGCGGGGAGGACAGAGGCAGGCCCTCCACCCGCCCAGCTGCTTCTAGGGCATCAGAGAACATGGCAGACCCTCTGGGGAGAGAACAGCAAAACACTGTTAATCACAAATACATTTCAGATTAGTGACAACTGCCTGCAAATATGTAACTGCAGATATTTAACCATCGGTACCTCATAATGCCACCGCAGATAAAAAGTTCAAAATCCCCTTCCAAAAACAAGTTTCCAAGTTTTAAGAAGCAATGAACAACAGGCTTGTTATTAGTGTCTGAAAGAGCTCTCAGATCTAATAATGTTTGATTACGTCAGGTCTGAGCCGATGTAATCACTGAAAATTAGGGATGCACTACACTAGTAATGACTTTCATTACTGACTCATCTGTCTTTACCTCCGTCAAAGAGGTTTTGTTTTTAGCACCATCTGTATATTCTGTTTGTCTGTCGGTAAGGAAATGGGCAGTAGCTCCGACTTTCATGAAACACAGTGGAAGGGTGTAGCATGGGAGGAAGGAAGAAACCATTCAAGTTTGGAATCAGATACATTATTTATTTTGTACTTTGCTTAACATTGCTAGATAGGTCAAATGTAACTTTTGTGATTAAGTGAATGTCTTGTCTACACATACAACAAAACAGAACAGCCACCTCTGTTATCATTACTGTAGAAACAAAACACCTTGGCGAAGATCTGCGAGTGCCCTGGTAGTCAATTATTAATTTGGTCTGAAGAATGCCCATCAACATTTCCAAGGGGCTCAAGATGATGTTTTGTTCAACCAACTGTCCAAAAACCAGATATTTATTTTGTTAATATAAGACAAACAAAGTCTATACATTAAGGGAGCTGGAACCAATACATTTTTGCCAGTTTTACTTAAACAATTATTTCACTGATTATTCTATGATCAGAATGGTGGCTGATTAATTATCTGTCAGTTGACTAATCAATTAATTGTTTAAGCACTGTTGAAAGCATTAAACATCCGTTGCAACCATCTGTTGCAATAGTGCGATATACAGTAGACTACAGTTTATTTTTTTCTTCAAGAACAACACTTCCAAGCTGAAATTTTTGCTTAATTCTCAGTGGGAAAAGGAAGAATAAAACACAGCAGTCTGCTTGTTCTGGCTTCCTTTAACCGAGAGAACTATTAGAGAGGAGCTGTGTTTTGCTGAATCACCCTCTGAGACGCAGATAGACTTGAGAAATCACCTTGTTCAGAGGTCACGGCCTCTCACTGGCATACAACTAAAGTGCTTATCTATTTAAAGACGACCTGCCAGCAGGCCCCGGGAGCTGGAGGGCAGACATCTGAGCTGCCGGTGTGTCCGTACACTGTCACTGATCCCTTCTATGGCAAAGCCCCGTGACAAGGTCAGCCAGACTCTGTGCGCGGGTGCAGATTGACTGTCCAGAGAACGTGGTCAATTATGAGATTCAATACAGATGACGCAGCGGGGCCCAAACAGAGCCCCATCACAGAAACTGATACAATAAGTTCTGCTGGGAAAACACTGCAACACATAGTCCCTGTGTATGTACGAGTTTGACGGGAACCAAACGCAGGGGTCGAGCATGAAAAGAGGTTTTTGTTTCCTCCTGCAGCCGTTGGTGCCTATATCATGTGAAGTTTGTCATATGGCTGTGAACTTTTCAGAGCGCTCTATACAGTCAAGAACTGTATATCCCTGCATACAAAGAACTGACTAAATACAATAAACCAGGGTGATACTGATATAAGGGACTTTTCCTTATTTACCAAAGGGGAGGCGGTGGATAAGGTGTGACTTTTTATTGTGACCCTCCCTAGAGTTACAAATATATCTCCTTGAGCTTTTTCCGAGTGACTGGGGGAAAACACATTACCCTCCGTCCACCATAAATAACCATATCTTATTATATTCACATCATAGGTCGGTAGTATTAGCTGACCTCTCAACTATTAAGTTTAACAGCAAACTGTGCTCCTTAAACCTCTGCGCTCTGATCCCCCTTCCCACGGCAAACTACAACTACCAGCTCCAACAGTACTTAAATCATTTGACATTCCCAGCTCTGAAACATAAATATGAAGCTAACTTTAATGCTCCAGCACAGAGGGAGTGAGGGTTATCGCCAAAACAACTCATTTCTCAAACAGCCAGCCCTTCTCCCTCTCAATAATGAACAGTCCACAGTTTAACCTGCGGAACAGGTTAGGACTGATTCAGCAAAACATCAGAAAACAAATATATAGCAATGGACACAGGACAACCAACCTAGATATTATGGCAGTTAATCAGTACACTTACTGTGCACAAAGATCAGCAAAGGTAGACGCCAAAGATACAAGTGTTGTTTCACCTACACTTTTAGTTGACCTTAGGCATCAAACTTGCCACAAACATAATCAATAATCAAGGGGCTACATGACCATCACCTTGAAAAAAGTGTCATTTAACTTTTGGGTTCACTTTCTAACTACTTCAGGTAGAAATATTGGCTGGTTAGTTGATCAACTATCACCTTCAATTTGTTCATTCACAGTACACTTACATTGAAGTCGGCCTCAGCAGCAGCACAGAGCTCAGATCTTGTGTTTATGAGCAGGAAACGCAGAAGAGGATCCGGCTGACCATGTTGTCTCTCTCTGGAACTTGTGTCATTAAACTTGTGTCTTACAACCACACAGACACATCTTCTGCGGCCGCGGACCGGGGCTCAGATGAAAACATGGGCAGGAACCACGGGGAACTTAACGGCTCACGTGTCAACAGTGCGTGCTGCTCCCTCCCGGCGGGGACCGAGGCTCCGCAGCCCTGCGGGGAGAGGAACTCCCGACGTCACTCTGAGGTCACAGCGGCTCCGCCAACCGGGGACGGGGCTCCAAAGTCGCTATAGTAACGGCAACAATAACGAGGAAGTACACGGTCGAGACGGAGACGGGGGCGGGTCCTCTGGAGTGGGAGGGGGGGGCGAGTGTAAACACAGCAGGTGACACCTCACAAATAGAGGAAGTTACAATAAATCTAAGATTATTCTTATTGTTTACTCGTTTAAAGAGTCACTACTATAACATAACCTTGACAGACAAATTAAATATATATATATGTATGTATGTATTTGACTCTTCCACATCCTAACTGCGGGCTCTGGCTCCTGGAGAAGGACTGTGTATTTGTGCTGGTTCGGGCCACAGTCGCGGTGTGAGCTGACCCGTCTCCGCTGCACGAACCTCAGCTTGTCAAACCTCCATTGGCTGCTGTGAGAACGTGAGGGACGTCACCGGTGCCAGCAGCCAATCGGCTCGCTGCGAAGTCAGCTGGTCCAGTGAGTTCTAACTATGAGCTGGTCGGGATAGCTGCACTGTGAGCCGAGCACAGACAGCACCGCCTCATGAGCGACACAAGAGTTAACATGTACGATGCACCTCGGACAGCTCCAAATGCTCGACCCTCCCATTTTATTATTATTTATCACAAAGTATGTCCGGTCACAAAACAGCGTGAGGACGTGCAGCATGCGGTCGCACAGGGCCACCGTACACTGTCTCGTCCAGCTGCACTGCTGTGAACTGGCTGACTGCCAGTGTCGCAGACTAGAGCATCGCAAGTAGTTGCAAGGTTTAACAACTGTCTGTCTGTTTCTGCTCTGATGTGTGTGCAGAGTTTTATGGATTTTATTTACATATTGTCATTATTGACCCATCTACAGATTATTTATTATTTAGTTCAATCAATTAATATTTTTTAAAACAGTGAAAATCACGATATGATGGTTGAAACCGGAACCACCAACATATAATATATGGCTTAAAAAAGTATGGGAACTGTATGAGATGGAACAAATGACATATGCAATAAGACTACAAAGACCCACATTTATAAAGAGATGGAGCCCTGTAATGAGTTTGTTAATGCAATAAGAAAAGTGTACTTTTGTCTTATTTATTATTACTTTTTATTTTTTTTTATTATTTTTTCTTTCTTCTTCTTTTTGTTTTTTTTTACTTATTTACTTGTGTATTTTAGTGAAAATAAAATGAGTTCAAAAAAAAAAAGAAAAACTGAAAAATTACCATCATAATTTCCTAGTGCCCAAGGTGATGTCATCAAATGTCTTATTGTGTCCCACCAATAGTCCAAAACCCAAAGATATTATATTTAAAGATGAGTAAACACAGCAAATTGCCTCATTGGAGAACCTGGGATCATCAAACGTGTGGTTTGGATTATCAGAAATGCTAATTATTTTTTTGCTGACCACTAGACTTTACAGATTACTGATTTACTTAGTACAAGTACATGTGCACATACAACAGCACATGCATCCCAGTTATATTTCTTTTTTCATGTTATGAATACTAAATCAAACTACAAACTTTGATATGTTATATTAATTTATCTAATATTTGAACATTACCAGTGTTCTTGGTTTTTCTTTTTTCTTTTTTTTTTTTAAATAGTATTGAGCTTCAAACAGTTGTTTGAGCTTTTGTATTTGCATGTCACAACAAGGTTGGTGACTGGTTGGTTGTGTACATATATACCCATTCTATATAGCTCAGTTTATATATATACATATAGTTTACTATACATATATATATCATACACTATCAGTTATATACACATTAGGTACTATACTATTAATCAGTGTACACACGTATACATACTATATACACTACTATTATACATACAGCAGGTACACATCATACCGCACCATATACAGCTGTACGTACTGAATCCTTATTAATACTACTAACAATCATATACATATGCAATTATATACAGCTATATACACTTATATCCACACTACTACAGTATTACCTATACACTATACATACTTACTATATTATATACTACACTACATACACTATAATACTGGTATACACCCACATCACGTTATCATACACACATATATATACATAACACATACGGCTATAGTATATACACACATTAACTATACATACACACATTTATCCATATGATACACAGTAATAGGTCATATATCTAGCATATACTATATATATCACCACCATTATCCTATATAACAGCCCTTATCATATATACACTATATCTTCACTATACGTCATCACTAATTATAGTTATATATATTATACACACACATAATATACATATCACGCGATATAGTATACACATTTAGTATACTTATTACATATATATATGACGTTTCATATACACATACACAATGATATGATACATACACACACGATTATATTATATATATATATATATATATGTATATATACATACATACATACATATGCTATATATATTACACTACATTATGTCATACATACATACATACATACATATATATATACTATTACATACATACTATATATTATTTACTATTATATACATTACATATATAATATATATATACATATAATATATAACATATATATATACATAATACAATATACATATATATCATATACATTTACATTATACAATATACTATATATTATATATATTACTGAAGAATCCTACTATTATATATCTATACTATATATCATACATATATAATATATTATAATATTACTACATATATATACATTATACCCTACCTACCTATCACCTAATTAGCAACTTATAATAGCTATACGATAGCTACTAATATCTTATCGATACGTATAACATAATACATAGTATATACTATACATGATTACATTATAACTATTACATATACATATATTATACACACATATAATAAGTATATTATATATACACACATATCTGTCTGATATTACAACCATATACATAATTTTATACACACCATATACATATCTACTTATATATTACACAATATACACTACATACGTTCATACTATATCACTCATACATACATACGTACGGCTATATTATACTATACAATATACATACATTAGCGTATATTATATATATATATACTATACATTATCATATAAATCTATATATTAATAGTATACATATTACATACTATATTATTATACTTTTATATTCAAGTTGGTATACCTATATATACGTACTATTAACTATACATACACTATAAGAGTCGTATATTATACGTACTACGTTATATATCATATAATATATACTATATTATTACTATATATAGCTCATACTATAGTTATATCATATTATATATATCATACACACACAACACACACACACACACTTGCACGTAGCACCAATTCATGCCTGAATGAATACTGTGCATATTCTGTCACATTTTAACAAATGTACCTTTGTTCCCATACGATTAAGAAACCTCCCTTGTTCTTTTACTTATCACCCACTGCACTCGTGTTTACATATAAAGAAACACATTTTGAAATAATAATTTATCGAAACATTGTGTTTAAAAATGTCAATCAAATCCCAATAGCACAGCTCTTACCACAGAAGACAATGATTGAAAATGAGTCCAGTAACCAAAAGAAACAGAAACACTGCAGCTTCAGATGTTGTGAATATCAGGCTGTGCTGCTGGTGCTAAAATGCTGTCACTGGCTGGGAGAGTTCCAACATCCTGACCATGCTTTGTTTACTCTGTTGACAGGAGCATGGAGGAGTTAGACTAAAGAAATATCTGCCAATAAATAGTGAACCCTCTCTACAGTGACTTGAAGCTGTCCCCACGTAATTGATAAAGACTTTAAGCCCAGCTTGCTATACAAATAACAGCTACACTGAGACTTCCTAATGGGCCAAAGCAGTCAAGCAAGGGCAATGTATAAGCCTCTGCAACAGTATTGGACATGAAGCTAATCCAAAACAACAATACAGTTGTAACTTAGCAGCCAGCAAACATGCATCCAGATGAGTAAAGTGAGGCTAATTTATACATCGAGTCATTTTTCAACACCGGAGAAAGAGGTGTTGAGATACAGGCCTCTGTTTTTAGAAAGACGTCACAGTCAGATGGTCTGCAATAAATAAAGGAACTGATGACTGAACAGCAGGGGAGGTGTATCCATTCCCTCACTGCTATAAGAAAGTATGCTTGCATCATGATTCATGAGCGAGACCAATTATTCTACATGCTACACATCCCAGGTTACTACCACAGCAACAATAAAGGAATACTAAAAAAACAAAAGACAGGTTACTGTAAGTGCAGAACCAATGAAGACACATTTCATCTGGGGTTATGAAATGTGTATGAAAACAGTATTATCACTTTATCATTAGGATGACATTATGCTCCATAGATCGATCCATAGAATATGTGTGTGGCCAATTAGAGCATTAAAGTAAACACAGAAAAGGTTGCACAATTTTGTGGGTGTATAACATAAATAATGCATGAATGTAATGCGTGTATATTCTGCCTTTTGATGCAGTTTCACTATGGATTTGAGCCTGTAGTCCTGCGATAATTAGTTCTGTGCGCTACATCATCAAAAGCAAATATGTTGAATGCTTTAATCTGCCTGAAACATGTCAATTCTGTCCACCATGTTGTAGTTTTATAGCAAGTAATGTGGAACATACTCCATTTTCCACTCTTTCAAACTTTGACTGGATCAATTTCACGTAACTAAAGTCCTCTTTACTTTGGTTTTGGAGCATAAACACCCACTTGATTGGATTTTGAACAAAACATACAGACTGAAACATAAGGAGTGTCTACAATTACAGGCAAAAATGGGAGTGATGGGAGTAATGGTTGCCCTAGACAGATTGTTTCATTTACATTTCTCAGCCTGGCCAAAAAACACTGACCTGATGGTGGCACTAGAGGGTTTTAAGTGTGCTATGGTGCAGCGATGACTTGT